GCTAGTTATTAAACTGTTGTTAGCTTTAATTTAGCCATGGTGGGAATATTTATATCCATGACATTGTCCAGTGCTGTAAATCCAGGTTTTTCCTTTTTCCTTTTTATCGCCCCTTCCTCCGGAGAGATGGCTTACCAACTTCATCTGGACTTTTTTTCATTTTACCTGAAAGACATCCTTTCATATTTCTTATAGTGTTTGTCTCCTGGTGATAAATTATTTTAGTTTTTGTTTGTCTGAGAAGTTTGTTGGGCTGATGTTTTTGAAAGACATTTTCACTGGTTATAGAGTACTAGGTTGACAGGATATTTTTTTGTGAAGTACTTACAGATGTTTGCCTTAGTCTGCTTTGCGTTGCTATAAAGGGAATATCTAAGGGTGGGTAGTTTATAAAGAAAAGATTAGTTGGCTTACAGTTCTGCAGACTGTACAAGCTTGGCACCAGCAGCTGCTTCTCCTGAGGGCTTCAGGGAGCTGCCAGTCAAGATGGAAAGTGAAGGGGAAGCAGGTGTGTCACGTGGCAAGAGAGGGAGCAAGAGAGCGAGGTGGTGCCAGGCTCTTTTAAATAACCAGCTGTCACATGAACTAATAAGTGAGAACTCACTCATTGTGGGGAGGGCACCAACCCATTCATGAGGGATCTGTCTTCATCACCCAAAAACTCACACCTGGCCCCACCTCCAACACTGGGGATCAAATTTCAACATGAGCTTGGGAGGGGCCAAACATCCAAACCATCTCAATGTTGCTTCACAGATTTGTGCCTAAATTGATTCTAACGTGATGACTGCTGTCACCCTTAACTTTGTTCCTTTGTACATAGTGTGTCTTTTATTCTCTGGCTGCTTTTAAGTTTTTTTTTAATCATTGGTTTTAAGCAATCTGTATTGTTACTTCAAATCTTTAAACATATCTTTAAACATTTTAAGCCACCCAGTTTGTGGTACTCTGCTATAGCAGATCAAAAAAATAGTAATAGGACAGAAGACCTGTTGGGTACAAGTTCTTCCATCATAACTGGAAGCAGAAGTTCCTAAACTCTCCTAGCATTTGTTACTTGAACTCCTTTTACCTTCTGCAATAGTTAAGTTATTGGAAAGCAAGTATCACATCTTTTTAATTTTTTGTTTTCCATGGCACCTATCTATAGGTATGTAAGCTGGATATGAAATTCATGGGCTTCAAATATGGGTGGGTAAAATGTAATTTTATTTTTTATAATCAAAATCATTTTATATCCAGGTCCTCATTCCATTGGGGTACACATGGCTAATTCAGGAGTCCCTCAGACCCTTCATGCTTGCCCTATCCTTTCTCCCTGCATGGTAGCTAAATCCTGGGGAGCTTATGAAATGCCAAGGCATTGAGGGGGAGAGTACTTGGTCTTTGGTCACTTTATTTTTTCTTCAGAATTCTCATTTGCACTGGTTACCAGCACCTATCCTCACTGACATCTGCTGATCCCTCGGGTGTGTCTTTCTGTCCTTCATTCTCTGTTGATCCGTGAAGGGTACTCCATGTCTCTTACATTCAATCGTGATGCTCCTTCAGGCTTGATGGCTTTATTCAGCTCATCTGTCTTCATATGAACGAGAAACTGGCTAGTCCTGATCTATCCTGAGATCCTTAGGGATTTTTTAGAGACTACCTCAGTGCCCTTTGTCAAGACACATTCCAAAGCCGTCTATTAAATAGTTTTCCATTGCTGCAATAATAAATTACTGCAGACTTAGCAGCTTAAAACAACACAAGTGTATTGGCTTACAGAGTCCTAGATCTCGGAAGTCTGACACAGGTTTCAGTGAGGTAAAGTCAAGGTGTCTGCTGGGCTGCATTCCTTTCTGGAGGCTCTAGGAGAGAATTCATTTCCGTTCCTTTTCCAGCTTCTAGAGGCCAACTTCATTCCTGGGCTCAAGCCCCCTTCTATCTTCAGAACTGGCAGCGTAGCATCTGTCTAACCTGCTTTCATGCCACGTCTCTGTCTTTCTCTTCTTCCCTTTTCCACGTGTAAAGACCCCTGTGATTGCATGGGGCACACCTGCATCATTCGGGCTACTTTCCCTATTTTAAGACCGTCCAATTAGAAACCTTAATTCCATCTTCCGCTCCCCTTCGCCATGTAACTTAACACTGCACAGGGTCTGGGGATTAGGAACGTGGAAATCTTTGGAAGGCCATTATTTGCTTACAAACCATTTCTACTTACTGATCTCTAACCAGTGTGACACGTAGGGACCTAGGGCCTTGTTCCCCTCATCTTGAAAATAAGCACAACTCTTCCTCTGCTATCAAATCTTTTCTCCCCTCTCCACCTCTCTCTCTTCTCTTTCCTCGATGAGAATGAGGGTAAGCAGGGGGCGGGGCACAGAGCAGACGTAGCTCAGGAAGTTCAGGGACATCTCTTTGGCTGACTCGTTTCTCCCTCCTAGGTAATTTTTAACTCTTCTGTGGAGGAACAAATAGACTTTGCAATTGTCTTCCCAATCCATTCTATAAGGATAGATTTTAGTTTTAAAACCAAAAAAGATGAGTTAACTCTTACTGCCATTCTCTTCCTGTATAAAGCTTCATCTTACCAGCAGTGATTCACTAAGGATCTAGTGCGGAGAAAGAAGCCCACGCCTCTCAAAAGGATTTGAGAGGAGGCTTGCCGAGAGGTGGGCGCCCACCTTCAAGAGCCTAGGAGAAGGGAAAGGAGAGAGCAGAGCGCGGTTCAAGCCAGCTAGTCTGCTAAACACCTACCTCCTCGCCTAGGCCAGCCTGTGACCAGGTCCCTCCCTCTTAGAGATCTGCTGCCACAGGGCAGAGGGATCACATCCCCACACACATTTCAATGTCTGAATGACTTGAGTGATTGCATGAATAAGCAGGATTGCAGATGGGAACGGAAAATGAGGATACATTTTTCTAAGGCATCAGCCATATGGAAGGAGCTTCCAGCTACTGGGTTGTGACAATGATCAGAGTGTCAGGAGCCAGCTCGTTACTCCGATCTGACTGATATGTCTCTTCACCCTCCAATCTGCTGTGCCATCTCTAAGGAGGAAGATTACGATGCTCTCTACACGTGGGAATGAGCTCATGTGGCTGGTGAGCTACATCAGGTCCCAAGGCCGCGCCGGTGTGCAAGACTGCCCACTCGCCAGGTGAAAACATGACACTGTCGCATCGAGAGCAGGACCAATTCTCATCCTTTCTTCCCTGTGTCAGCTGCCACCCCCTGCCCACCCTCCCTCCACTCTCATCCCCACTCAGGACTGACTCGATAAAAATTTCAGGAGCAAAGAGCAAACAGACATGGAAAGAAGGGAGGGATCGGTTGTGTGTGTCCTCACTCCCTGCAATCCTGCCATGCTTAGATCATACACAGAGTCCTATTAACAGATTTGTAAAAACTGAGATTGCACTGGAGAACCTCACTGCCTTCCTTCGTTGGCTGTAGCTATTTTTCATCACATCTCACAAATGTTCACGGAAAGCAAACTCCATTTACCACTTGATTTATCATTTAAATAAATGTGATAAGAGGATTCATTCCACTTAGAAGGGATAAAACACAAAACACACTCCCCACAAATATAGTATATTCAAAGGCAAGCAAAAGAAACATGTGGTGCTACAGCTGAAACTCTGCCAGAAGCAAGAACTCCGACATTCACTTGGAACGTGTTATTGCAGCATCAGCAGCAATAAGAAATGCATTACATCACTAGCCCCTGATGAAATGGGAAAGCGCTACAAACGCCTGGTTTGCTTCGGGCTCATTCTCCCGGTTTGGCCACTTCTATTGCTTCCTTTGCTAGGTCTTCACCTTAAGCTACTCCACCACATCCAACCCAAGTTGATAATTGTTTTGAAAATAAATCCTCAGAGACAGAGCGTGGCAAAGGCAGAGAGAAGAGGAGGTTCTAAGGGTGTTGGCTGTCCTCCAGGACTGGTGGGGTCTTATTTCAGCAGAGGGAGGTTACACCAGCTGCCTAGCAGATTCCCATCCTTAGCTATTGTGAATCAGTGTCTTGGCAGCGCCTCTTGTGTCTCTGTAGTCCCTGCAGCCCACCCTCCATCCCAGCCCACTGTCAGTCTTCTAGTCCTGGCTGCAGACACAGGCTTTCCCTATGGTCAGGAAAAAAAAAGGCCCCCCCTTTTGCTTGCATTGCCCCGGGCAAATTGCTTTTTTCACCCTTTTTTCGTTTTTTTATTCTTTTTTTAAATTTTTTTGGTTGGGATTATTGAGGGTAAGAGTTTACTGAGGGTTCCCAAGCCAGCAACAAGCAGAGCTGTGACATGAATCCAGATCCGTTGGATTTCACAGCCCCGTGATGTGTCCTCCTCCCGCTCCACTCAGATGAAAAATTAGACCGAGTTGGGACATGGAACACACGGTCCAACTTTAATCGGTTCCGTAGTTAATTCTGTCTGTCCAAGTCTCAAAGCCTGTCTGCCGGAGCGACGACCATGCGGGTGATCCCTCGGCTGGCTGTCACAGCAGCTTCTTCCCGTAGAACTAAGCGTTTCTGCTTTGAATACCCTGAAGACCGAAATCTCTGGAGCCCTGATCTCCTTTTATCTCCTTCCCAGCTTCCCAGGTGACGCGTCCTGCCTCTAGTTTCTAACTTCAGATAGACTAAAATCCCTTTTCATCATCCTGCCAGCATCGCAGTTTCTCTGGCTAGTACAGAGACTTCTGCTGTCTCTTGGGGGAGCTAGTCACCTCTTGTTTACAGGTAAATTATGAGTCAGTCATTAAACATATTTACATACCAGGACATAAGCCGGGTTGCAATGAAGATAACGAGTGCTGCTTACAGCTGGTTCCCAGGGAGGGTGGGGATGATTCGCCGCCCACTTAAGAAAGACCAGCCTCATTTCCTCCCCAGCTCAAGGGGACATGATCCCTCTACCCTGGCGGCAGATCTTCAAGAGGGAGGGGCCCGGCCACATCTCTGCCCTAGAGGAGGAGGCGTCAACCAGGCCAGCTGAAGGAAAGGCTGGACCGAACTATGCTCTGCTCTCTCCTTGCCCTTCTCCTGGGCACTGTCTTAGGTGGGTGTCCTCCTCTCTGGCGAGCCTCCCTTCAGATCCGCACCCTCACCGCAGCTCTGTGAGTCCAGAGCCTCAGCTGTTGGCTTCACTCTCTGGAGTACATTCCTCCAACTGCCTGGAAAGGACATGGGACTTTAGACTTAGCGGCTAGTGTCCTGAGTCTTGGTTCTCTCTCCTGGCCCAGGGACACTGTGCACGCTTGGCTCTCCAGTCCACTCCCCGAGATCGATTCCACGTGCCTGAGTCATGGAAGGGCTTGAGCGGCCCCTCTGTCTGGGGAAGCAAGCCGGGCTGGAGGGCTTCCTCTCTAAATGACACTTTACACTTCCCACAGGTGCCCAAGCCCAGACCATTCATCAATGGCCAGCTGCCAGGGTGCAGCCTGTGGGCAGCCCTCTCTCTCTGGAGTGCACTGTGAAGGGGGCATCGAGCCCCGCCCTCTACTGGTACCGACAGGCCACAGGGGGACCCCTCCAGCTGCTCTTCTACTCCGTTGGTGTTGGCCAGATAGAGTCTCAGGAGCCCCAGAACCTCTCAGCCTCCAGGCCCCAGGACGGCGAGTTCATCCTGAGTTCTAAGAAGCTCCTGCTCAGCAACTCCGGCTTCTATCTCTGTGCCTGGCGTATCACACTGAGCCAGGCAGGGCAGACGTCTGTGCAAAAACCCCACCCTCTCCTGAGTCCTAACCACCCTCCCCTGGAGCCCTCACTCAGGCGCTGGGTGGAGGATATTTGTGACTGGGTTTCCGACTGCTAGCCAATGTGAGAGCAACTGAATTAAGTCAGAGTTCTCCAAAAAACCTTACTAAGTTCTCAGGGAGGACAAACAATTTGAAGTGCACAGAACCTGTGAATTGCCCACACGTAGTCACGTTCCCAGCGTGGGGCTGACGGCCCTGGCCCCCATACTCCAGCCCTCTCAGTGCATCGTACCCCGCCTAATGCTCTCTGCTCCCCCATTTCCGTAGGGGTACACTGGGCAGAGGGTACGTGCATGTGTGGCTGAGCGAAAAAGGATACAGCTGTAGCAGGATGTGGGGTGGGGAAGGATGGTGAACAAATGGCAGGGAGGGGGGCCGGTGGGGATGCCAACTCAGGTTACTTAATTGGTGACTTTCATCACCTGGAGAGTCTCCTGTCATTGACATTTCTGCTGAAACTAGAGCTTTTATGGAGACTTGGACCTGAGGCTTTGAGTCAGGGAAAGGGCAGGACATTTGCGAGACTGTTCTCATTCGGGGTGGAAGTGTGATTTTTAGTATAAGAAACATGCGCTTAGAAATTTTGATTATTGCTTTGGGTTTTGAGTTTTTAAAAATTTCCTGCTGTGCTGTCTTCCGTCCCTTCCCTGGTAGCAAAGAGGGAACAGAGGAACAGATGGTGATCCAAGAGATACACAAGACTGAAAATAAAGAAGAGGGCTGTGTGTGGAATGGTAGAGCCCTAAAGAAGAGAAATCTCATGGATGGAAATGAGGAGAGGACAAGGCTGATGTGGATGGCTGGGAGGAGGTGCCACGGTTACCCTGGCAACTGAGTTCCTTACTCATCCATCATCCCTCCCTAGTTCTCTTTCTTCTTAACATGATTCTCTTTCTAATGTCCCTTACCCTCCACGAGAGGGCACAAGAAGTCTTAAAATACTCTGTTCCTGGCATCACTTAATCCAGAACAATCTGGACATATGTTTGTGTCCAGTATCATTTAATCTGAAGAAGAAAATCTGAGACAGAGACACAGAGTGATCAAGAGAGTATGCAGGGGGCCGGGTGTGGTGGCTCACGCCTATAATCCCAGCACTGTGGGAAGCCAGGAGTTCACCACCAGCCTGGGTAACACAGTGAGATCCCCTCTGTACAAAAGAATTTTAAAAAAATAATTAGCCAGGCATGGTGGCATGTACCTGTAATCCTAGCTACTTGGAAGTCTGAGGCAGGAGGATTGCTCAAACCCAGGAGTTCCAGGCTACGGTGAGCTATGATAGATGGCACCACTGCACTGCAGCCTGGGCAGAATGAGACCCTGTCTCTAAAAAAAAAAAAAACAGTGAGAGAGTATGTAATAATGCCCATGGGTCCCTGTTGCACTTTAAGGATCAACTATATATTAAGCAGCTATTACATGCTGGGCACAGTGAACCATCACACGGATCAAAGGGGAAAATGAGGTAGACTCAACGGGTGCTGAGCATGGTCACACGTGGTTCAGTCAAAGCACTTGATTTGGAGTCTAAATGTACCAGTTGTTCTGACCTTGAGCTAGTTTTTTAATCTCTCTAGGCTTCATTTTCCTCATTTGCCTTACTGAATCGTTAAATGTATCAAATAAGATGGTGTTTCTAAAGCCCTATTACAGGGTCTAATTTTCAACAGATATTATTTTCCTCTCTTTAAACTTACAAGACATTTTGATTACAACTTAGCCAAAAGAAAGACTCATTTTAAAAATGTTGAATTGTAAACGACAGGCATGTAAATATTTTAAAACACTGTGCATACTTAGATGGCAAACCCGGGAAGCTTGTTGCCCACGTTGCACACATTCAGATATTGACCACCAGTCTTTTCTGCTGGGACCTCGTGCAGCCTCCAGCTCCTTCTTCACAGAGAAACAGCCTGGGTCATCGCCACCAGTCACATGGAGTTGGTAGGAGACTTGAGACAGATTTTTCCTTCCTATAAGATATTCACAAAAGTTCTAGAAAACTACACAAAGGAGATAAAACTTTAGTTCGGTGTCGCTTTTTAGGAGGTGAGTATTTAGATAAGCAAAATGACATTCCAAGCAGGAGGGTCAGTTTGCATAGGAATGTGAAAGTCTCGGTGGGTATTGTAAGGTCAGAAGAAGCGGTGAGAAAGAGGCCCTGACCATTGCACAGGGTGACCTAGAGGCAGGTGAGCGCTGATGGGTAAGGCAAGGCGTGTTAAGGAGAGGCTTGAAAGCCATCTAAATTCAACGAAATAAGTTAATATCCTCTGTGTACCTGCCCTTACTCAGGCATAAGAATCCTATTCCCATAACTGTTTCTATAGCATCTAGGACTCAGAAATTCAGTCATCACAATTTCAGAGGACAAAGGGTGGAAGATCCTGCTCAGATATGCTATCAGTTGCCAGGGATTCATCAACCTCAATTGCCTGTTGGGTCAGGTGAGCCGTCCTTTTCCTAGGAGAGCTTCCAGTACCCTGTAGGTATGCCCAGATGACCATTTCTCCATGCATCTCATTCCCTGGCCACTTGTGTGTGGAAGTTCCAGGGCCACATACTGGTGGCCAGAAGAATTCCCTTCAAGGTGCTTCACGTGGATCTTAGCCACTCATGGGATTTATTGTTGGACACTTTGGGGTCTCCAGACAGCTTGAGGAAGATGGGGAATGCCCAGGGCTGGGAAGCTGGTGGCACTAAAATTGGGCTACTTCATACTTTTGCCCAGGATCATATGCTTTGTCCTGAGCATGCTATAGCCCTTGAGTCTGTTATATACCTGCTTATTTCCCATTCCCTCCTTTGGGAATTTCTGCCTCTCTCCTGCATTGTGTTCCTCCTCATCCTCTTCCCCAGATGGAATAGAAAATATCCATCACATAGACCTTACAGGCCTTAGCAACTGGAGAGTAAAACTTAGAGAAAGCCGGTCAGTGCAGCACACAGACAGCGGCTCAAACGCCCAGGGGCTGGCCATTTTGCAGTCTGTTGATTATCTGGGGCTCCCCTTCCTGTGACTCACCAGCACAGCTCGTTACAGGAGTGGAAGGAAGTGGGAGGGCACACGGGGAGAGAAGTGGGAGGAGGGGTTGCCTGAGTGATGTGGGACCAGAAGGGACCCCAGTTGGGTCACAGCAGTTATTGCAGCTGCTTTTCATTCCCCACTGTCTCTGTGGTGCCCACTGCAGCCCTTGATCTTGCTTCTAACCTCCAGCAGGTGTAAAAGACTTGGGGCAGGGGGGCGTGCTGCACGTGGAGCTGAGGTAGCTGCTGCCTCCCCTTTAGAGACCCTGTCCTCTCCCCTCTGCAGTTCTATTTCCACTGCCAGGGGGCTAACCAGAGGCCCGGGTAGAAAGAGCAGCCTGGGAGCAGGCTGAGGGCAGGATGTGGTGAGTGTGGTCCTTGTGATGCTCGGAAGGTGGGTGGGGGGAGAGCCTTTCACAGGCGCCCCAGATGTAGGACCTGGTAAATGTCAAACCACATCCTGTTGTGACTCCCCGAGATGGAGCCAGGACAGGTGGCTGCTGTTACTTGGTACTGATGCTACTCAGAGATAAACAGCCCTGCAGCCAGCGCTGGGCTCAGACACCTCTATCCCTACCAAGTCATCTGCTGCATCCTAAAAGACCCCCACCTGCATCTCTTTACTTCCTGACCTTTGATTCAGGGCCACTGTCCTCATTCGTGGCCCTAGACTCTTTCCTGGGGAGGGCCAGGGAACAGGTGTCAGGGCTCCAAGTGCCTCTTGAAAACTGTGGGACTCCGGGGTCAGCGCTGTTCCTTACACCCTCATCCTCTCTGAGACTGTGTCACAGACGTGTATGCCTTAGAGCTGGGAAGAGCTGGGATATCCTGAGTTATTGTCTCTGGATGCTTCGGGGCCTGAGGCTTTGAATCCCTGAGTCCGAAGAGCAGAGCTGAGAGAACTGACGGTTCCTTCGAGACCGCTTTACCCAGTCTCCCCACATCACCGAGGAGGACACCGCAGCCCAGAGAACAAAAAGGAGCTGTCCGAGCCCTGCCGCTGGGGACAGAGGAAGACCATGGGCCAGTTCTCTGTGTTTTGGCAACCCCTGTGCTGCAGACAAAGCCTAGGGAATGTGGGCTCCACATTGAGCTGCGATCTCGCTGTGAATTTTATGAATCACTTGTATAAGAATAAATAAACCAAAACGATCACATCCGAGACGGCATGGGGGTGGGGGATAAACACGATAAACCACAGAATCAGAATCCTGCAGAAACTAGACAGGTTGGAGAGCTGAGCTGAAGAACTAAGACAAAATTAAGCAAATGCTCCCCCTCCCCCCACCACCAGAGAGAAAAAACGAACTGTGGGCACAGGAAGGGGAATAGCTGGCTCACAAGAAGTGTGTGTGAAAAACACCCAGGGTCTGAGTCAAAAGTAAGCTCTGAGTCAATGGGCTGATGTGCGTAAAAAAGTAGAAAAGTTACGCTGGAACCAACGTGGAAGGTCCTGAGAACAAGGAGACAAAGCCTCCTCTTTACCCCGTGTCACTCAGTACCCACCTTGTGCCACGTCTGCTTCCGAATAACACGCTTTTAGAAGGGTAGAAGGATAAGAACAAACTTCAGCGATTTCAGACAACAGGGACTGGGCTTTGGAGAGTAGGAAGTGCTCAAAACTGTGAGATACGAGAGTAACAGCGAGAGAACTCAAAATGTTTAATTTAAAAAAATCTTCGGGCTAATCGTAATTATAATACTATCATTGTGCTAAGAGCTTAACATTTTATGTGGGTTAAATAAGATAAAACCACTTTGTGAAGTTGGGATTGTGATTGAGCCCATTTTACAGAAAGGAAAGCTGAGTCTAGAGGTGGTCACTTGTCCAGGCTCACATGGTTGGTAAATAGCAGAACTGAGGCTTGAATCCAGATCTTTTTGCTTTATAGCTCATATTCTTTGCTATGACAATGTTTTCATCTACCTACTATGTGCTTTTTCCATTCTGCAAACTCAAGCTCTTAAAGGTTCTAATTATTCTGTCTCTCACAGATTCGTAAATTCTGGGCTGAAGGTGGGCACCTAGCTGTCTTATGAACGGCTCTCCCTAGAGCATAGTTAGGACCAGTGAGGAGCACTGCAGTGAGATTTGTGGCTCCTTAAATAAACTGTCCAGTGACAGAATGTCCTACTCAGACAGGGCGAGAGTTATCTGTCCCGGGACAACTGTAGCATAACTGGAGGGGATTCGAGACGCTGCTGTTAAGCTTCTTAACCACCCAGAGTGCCTGTTATATTATTTCAAAATCCAGTCGAGGTCCAGCCCCAGGTCCAGCGAAGGGAGGCTGCAGAGAGTTGAGTCGTAATCGCTGGGAGTCCAGGTTTGGGGGAGGTGTTGTTTGGGAGGGACAGGAAATGGCTGTAAAGACTTAGGAAGAGGAGCCCACCCGGGGTAAATATGGTTCTGGGGGGGGGACCAGACGGAGTTTGTGGCTCTCGCCATCCCTATTAAGTCCCCTGGTGAAATGCGCCTGGCCCTTTATCCTCCAGAGGACAGTCCTTCGTCCCTCTCCTTGGTTGGCTTGTGGACCCCAGGTACCGACCAGCAACTCCCATATCCTCCCACCCGCGAATGCCTCTGCATCCCCAAGGTGACAGTCACCAAACCCGCAGACCCTGTTTCTCTTCTACGAGGCTTCACCCTCTCCGCACGGCCACCCTGACCCTGCCCTGTGGCTGCTCAGCCCCTCACAGCTCTTCTCGCACAGATGGTCCCACACCCCAGCCCCGGTCTGTGCCCCTCGGCCCCTCCAACGCCGGCTCTCTCTGAAGCACTTGTGCCCTCAGCAGCTCACCCTCCTGTCCCACCCTTGTGAGGGACACAGGAGCATCTACTGCCACCACACAGTCTAAGGACTGGGGGCACCCTTCGTCAATGCTGGTCTGGGGCCTAAAGCCTGCCCCCTTGTTTTTAGGCTGTTTTAGTCATTGTAAAAACAAACCAACTCATAAACAGCATCAACAACAGCCAGTACAAAGCCACACTGCAGCTTGAGAGATCTGGAAGTAGTCACACCGATGGAAGGTAGGGACTTGTGATGAGGTTCCCAGGCCGTCCCTGCTGTGGGGCTGGCCCTTTCTGGCCTGGGAAACCGCCTGCAGAGAGTCCTCTTCTCCTGCTCCAGGACAGCCAGTGTAGTGGGATGAGTAGTGTCCCACCCCCAAACTCATGCCCACCCAGAACCTCTGAATGTCACCTTATTTGGGCTAATGTCTTGATAAGGGAAAGGAGAGAAGAATTCAGATGCAGAGACACAGGGGAAAATGTCATGTAAAGACAGAGGCAGAGATTAGCATGACACTGCCCCAAGCCAAGGAGTGCCAGGAGCCATCAGAAATGGGAAGAAGAAAGAATTGTTCCCTGAAACTGTCACAGAGCATGGCCCTGGGGACACCTTGATTTTGGATTTTTGTCCTCCAGAACTGGGAGAGAATAAATTTCTATTGTTTTAAACCACCTAGTGGCACTTTGTTATGGTCCTTTGTTGTGTGCTTTGTTACCGCAGCCCTAAGAAACCAACACACGGAGGAATATTAAGGTCTCTTCAGTGTGTTACTGTGGGGCCTGCCCCGGATTTTGTGAACAGCAGCTCTAGGGTGACACCCTGACACCTTAAGCAATCACAGTGTCCTGGCCACTACTTGGGAAAAGCTTCCGGAATTGCTGTCTTCAGAAGAATATGCCACGGTTTTACCACTTGCAAGACATTTGATCTGTGAACAGCAGCTTCTATGCCTACAAAAGAGGGGAAATAATAACTGTTTCTAAGATCATTGTGGGGATTCAGTGGGACAACGCATGTGCCCGTGTCCAGCCTGAGGCCTGGAGCAAGTGGGCTCTCCACAAGGGCTCCTTCACCTCTCCCACCCTTCTCTGCTTTCAGATGTTGCCTCAGCTCACTTAGATGTGGCCTCTGTCACTGTCCTATGCCTCCTCTTCTCCAGTCCCATCCCCCCTCTCCAGGTGCACTGCTTTGCGTTTCGGGTGGTCTGGTCTCCACCCTCCAAGGGAAGGGGCCCTTTGGAAGGTCTTCCCCTGCCCGTAGCACCTCAGCCCCTCAGGGCCCTGCTCCCATGGCTCCCCCAAGGCCTGGCCCTGTGTTCCCTGCTCCTGGGAAGTCACTCGTCCCCAGGCTTTGCCTATCAGTTTTCTCACCCCTCTGCCTTCTCTAGGATTCCAACCTAGACATGTAGAGCAGCACTAAAACTCAAGCCCAAATCCCGAAACAAGACAGGCTAGAAGTATTGAGATGAGACACCAATAAAACCTAGAGACATAACAAATGACACTTGAAATCTGGATTTGAGAAATGATCAGGCATCAGAACCCATAGGTCTGCCTGGCCCTCTGCGCTGTGCTGGGCAGGGGTTGTGGTTTCCTGGGCAACTCTCTGTCCTCCTCATGCCGGGTTCTTAGAGCCCAGCATTGCCCTTCAGACCAACCCTCCGCTGGGGGCACAGCATGCCTGGGTGCAGACATGGGGTTGGGGACCCCCATCAGGATGAACAGGAGACACAGCGTTGGGTGGGGAGAAGAGGGCTAGTCACTCCTACACCTGCGGGGGGACTGCTTTGCCCAGATGGGCAGAACTCCACAGACACCCCTGAAACAGCCAGGCCCAGCACGCCATGTTTATTGCTTTAGTCTATTACAGACTTGGGGGTTGGGAGCTCCGTCTGCGGGGAAACAGAGAAAAAGGACAGATGTCCACGTAGAAAGGGGATGAGAGGTGGAGACACAATAACTCTTTAGGGACACAGGTGGGAGCTGGTACAGGAGAATCCCAGGTGAGGATGAAGAACGACTCAGGATGCACTTTTGGAGCTGGCCTCAGGAGTCCTTCCTCTTGATCTGAGGAAGAGAGGACATTGTCAGGGTCCCAGGGGTCATGGGGCAGTAGGAGTGGGGCTCACTGGTTCTCCCCATCCTCCAGGAATGCGAGCTGTACTGTCCCCTGCCTTTTATCCCCAGCTGGGCAGTCCATTACAGTTTCTTGAGATGACAGGATATAGCGGGCTGGGGTCTGGCTCTGGGATTCCCTTGGGTCCCATGTATGATGTTCTGCCCCCATCCCCATTGCCTGCCCCATCCCACCCTGTGCCTACCATGGCCATCAGCACGAGGGCGCTGACCAGCACAGCATACAGGGTGGCCTTCCCCAGCAGGATCTCGTAGAGGACAGTGGCGGACAGGACCCCTTGGTGGTAGGACACTGTTGGCAGGAAGGGAGAACAGGGAGGAACCTGTACAAACGTAGCTCTGGCCTCCCCCAGCCCCAGTGCCCATGGGTTCTGCAGGCCCTGGTTGCAGAACAAAGACCATGGGAGATGGAGAGAAAAACGGAGAGGCTTACTTACTTGAGGTGAAGCCACAGTCTGCAAGAAAAAAGAAGGAGAGAAATGGATGAGGAATGCCACTTCTTGAAGACACCGAGCCTTTAATTATAGACTTCAAAGTCATAGACTCAGGCCACAAACACATGCATGTCAGATGGTATGGTCAGCCGTCTGTGAGAGCCCTGGTGCTGTCTATCTCATGTGGCTCCAGTGTCATCATGTAGGACCCGGTCATTAAGATCTTAGGAAACCAGGACCCCTCAAGGGGTGGGAGGCACCCCACTCAGGTGCTGGGCTGTAGGGCTGTCCTGGGGGACCGTCAGCACAGCTCTGAGGGCTCAGGGCCTGTGCCCCGTGGGAACAAAGTACACATGGGTTGCTGGCACTGTGGGCCTTGATCCTTCCATCCCACGCACTCTGGCTTTCTTCTGGACTCAGTTTTGCTTCTACCTGGATCTTCCCATTTCCCTCCGGGTCTGGCCTGACCCAACATCCTCACAGGCCTCCAGAGGCCCCACTCACCTGCTCTGCCCCAGGCCTCAGCACTGATGTTCTGGGTGATGGGTTTGGCTGTGTCCTGGGTCCACTCGTCTTCCTCTGTGAGCCCGAAGAACTGGACTTGGCAGCGGAAGTGGTTGCGGGGATTGTGCCAGAAGGTGGCTGAGACCCTCAGGCGGCTGCTCAGGCAGTAGGTGGAGTCGTTGAGGCTGGGCTGCTCCTTGTAGGGCTGGGGGTCCGTGCTGACCGCACTCTGGACCTCCTTCCCGTTCACCCACCAGCTCAGCTCCACGTGGTCGGGGTAGAAGCCTGTGGCCAGGCACACGAGCGTGGCTTTGTGGGTCCGGGAGATCTCTGCTTCCGAGGGTTCAAACACAGCCACCTTGGGCGGGGTCACCTTTTTCAGGTCCTCTGGAAAGTGAAGAGGGGTTGGGGCCAGGGCTGTCTGAGAGTGCCTGGGCCTGGCAGGGGCTCTGTGTGTGCGAGAGAGAGAGGGCTGGGAGGGTCAGAGTGAAGCACAGCTGTGTCCTAGTAGGTCCTGGCTGCTTTGGGGCCACTGTCCCATTCTTCCTTGTTTTCCCTCTTCCTTTCCTGTCCTTTGGGTTCACCCTCTGCGGGACACTGCCCACTGTCTCTCCCTCCCCAGCCCCTCAGGTGGCGTCATGAACAGCACAGCCCAACATTCTGGGTAATGTCTCTTCATTGACGTCATTCGATTTCTTCTCCATCAATAAACGTGTTTGCCAACTTCTCACCATTTTATGCAGCAGTTATTTAAACAGGGCACTTACAGAATCAGAATAACAGGACCCAAATCCTAGAACTGTCTTTGCCCAGCAACACTGACGTTAGGACAGTACTTTCTCCACATCATTGTTTCTGCTTGTGAAGTGACAATCACCACACTGACTTCCCAGAAGGGGTGTGGAGACCAAGTGATATGGGATTCGGACAGCCTGGTCCTGAGTCAGGTTATCTGTGTCCGAATCTACGGTGCTAAGGAAGAAAGGAGAACTGGGGATGAGGGAGACATTTTGAGGCTGTGGGCTTTCTTTAGCTGACAATGTACAGATGCCTATTTTTGTGCCCTCCTGTGAGGACATCCTTTTGTTGTACAGTGCATTCATGGGAATGTGAGGTTTTCTGACTTTTTGTAGTGCATGAGATGATTATCTCATCCATTCCCTTTCCCCCAGGCACACCTGAATTTCCTCAGCTCACTGAGATAATACTCTCCCCTTATTTCAGGTTCAGGGATTCTTCACCCGTCTTTGTTCCTTTGCTTCCAAATGTTACACTTTGCTCTACTAGCAAGTTCCTAAACAAGCATCTGAGATCATCAGAGCAACTTCTTGCCACTAGTTGTATTGATATGATTTTTTCCCAGGCCTCTCCTTTGTAGATTCATAGGGGTGACAGGTGACCACGCTCCCTTCATCCCCAAGTGCCCGTTCCATCCGGCTGACCCACTGAGTCTAGGCCTGCCCTCCATCCATTTCATCCTGTCCTTCGCTTTCCATGGATTGTTTTTTGTTTCTGAGCAATTCTGTTAAAATGAAACAAATATTATTCTTATGAGAACCTAGTCCTAGTCTCCTGGATTACAGAGGAGAAATTTGTTCTGACACTTCTTCCCATTCCTAGGATGTGACCCCCTCCCAGGGCTGGCTCCGTGGGTGTGCACCCTGAGCAGTCACAGAGGACCACATACTTAGAAGGGCCCCGAGCTTGGCTGAATGCTCTGATATTGCCATTTTGAAATTCTAAATCATTTTATTTTTTTTAACAAGAACCTTCGCATTTTCATTTTGAGCTGGGCCTGAACATTTTGTAGCTGGTCCTACCTCCCATCCTGTCAGCTTTCCCGGCCCCCGACTCCTGCCTTGCTAATTACCACCATGCTTCTAGGTCTTCACTGGCCAAGCCAGGGCTGAAATGGTGATATCCAGGCTCCATCAGTCTTTCTGCTCTCAGCCTGATAATTTTCACTCTCATCTCAAAGACCCTGGCTTTGGGATTCTTTCGACTTTCCAGGGGCAGTAGGAAATGCACACCTTTGATCTCCTCACTCAGCAGACATCAGTCCCTATTATAAAAGTTAAAGCTGTCCCTTGACCATGTCTGCTGTTCTGTATGATATTTATGGATGCAACAGGCATGACAAACACAAGCAGACCCTCACCACACTCCAACATACCACCTGTACAAGTCCACGGTGAGGTCAGGGCCAACTACCCTTCCGTGCTTGTGAGTCCCTGTGGGGTACGGGGGGCTCGCCTATGTGGATGTGTGTACTCACGAGCTGCTGTTTGCTGTGCTCTGCTCCGTTAGATTGCGAAGATTACCTGTCCTCTCCCCAACTCCCCCTCACACCCTTCCCTCCATTTCCACAATCCAAATCCTGCCCCTCCTTTGGCACTGGGCTGCACCTCCACCCCCTCCCCAGTGACCTCCTAGGGGAAGCTGGGGATGAGAAGCGCCGATTACAACAGCCTCCATACTCTACACCTTGCTTCTCTTTTATTCTTCACAGTGCTAGTAAGTGGTAGGTATGATTAATTATATTGTATAGTTGAGGAAATTGAAGTTCACACATTAATTTGCCAAGGTCACCCGATCACTAAGGAGCCAGGGGTTGGAACCCAGCCTTTACAAGTCTGTGTTTTATCCACCCCGGCTGACCGCAGGACCTAGCATTTCTGCTGGACACACTTCACTGCTGAACTGAGCTGAGCCCACCCCACCCAGCGTAATGATGGTCTAACTACAAATGGGTCCATTGTCGTGTGGTGGTTGTTGTCAGAGAATCCAGGTTAATACATCATTGTTGTGAGTTATTTCCCTTCTCCGGCCTCGGGGGTCTCAGCACCAGGGGATGTTTAGGGCGCCTTTCCAGCTCTAAGATCCTAAGACCTTCCAGGCAATTTTCCTTACCTAACAGGCAAAATGTCTGCACTTCAACCTGTTTGTGGCAAATGAACTCCCTGCACCATCTGGGGTGGTTGACCTAGAATACCTAGTGTGATAAGGAAGGTTTGAGACTAGGGGAGAGGGAGGATGCATTTGGGGGTAAGTGGACCCCGGTGGCTGAGGTTCCGTCCCCTGCCCTCGGGCCAGCATCCCTTTGCTGACCGGCCCATGTGCAGGCCTCGATGCTGTGCCCGACCCCTGCCCCAGGGATCTGACGTTTAGGAGGAACAGGAGCGAGGAGGAGCAGGGGTTTTAGATCTAAGTCTAAATCCACACCGCTGAACTGCAACTTTCCCCCCGCTGCTCCCGGCCCTCCTGGCTGTTCTCTCCTTTGAGCAGCGATTATCTATTCCCCAAAGCAGGTTTTCCTTCTGTCTTTTTCTCCTTTCTAGAGGTTCCCAGAGCCCTAACAAATCTCCTTCTCCCTCTGCTCACCTTGTCCCTAAATACCTCAGAAAAAAGAGATCGAAGGCGGCCCTGCGTCTGCCCAGGTCCGGACCCTGGCCCCCGCCCCTCCCCAGTCCTTGGCGAAGTGGGGGGTGGGCGGGGAGGTGAAGTCGCGGAGCTGAGCCCCTTCTCCCCCGATCGCCACCCCCCTCGCGGCTCCGGTCCACTCGCCCGCACAGGGGACCGAGGGGCTGGACGGTGGGAGCCACCCGAATCTCACCTGTGACCGTGAGCCTGGTGCCGGGTCCGAAATGCTGCTCGTAGGAACACGGAGGCACAGCCCGGCACGCAAACCCCGCAGCGCTCGAGCTACCCCCACCCCGGGCGCCCAGCCCAGTCCCTGGAGCTCTGGGCTGCAGCGCAGGGCTGGGGACCCGGTGCCACGAAACCCGAACCGCCGCCTTCCGCCGCGTCCCCGCCGCCCGGCCGTGGGTCCCGCGGGCACTCACCCAGCACGGTCAGCCGGCTCCCGGCGCCGAAGGTCTGGGCCGCGCCCTGGGAGCACGGCCGGGGGTCTCCCCACAAGAACCCGCTCGGAGCCGCCCGCCCGCCCCGCGCTCACCTAGCACCAGGAGCCGCGTGCCCGGCCCGAAGTACTGCGTTTGTTGGTTCACGGCCCCCGAGCCCCGCACAAAAACCCGGGCCGCCGTCCCGCGCCCTGTCCCCCGGCGGCCCGCGCTTACCTAGCACCGACAGCCGGGTGCCCGCGCCGAAGTATTGAGTGTTTTGACTCACAGCCCCGGGGCGCCGCACAAAAACGGGCCCCGCCGGCGTCCCCGCGTCCCGCGTGCCCCCACCCCTGCAGCCCGGCCCCCCTTGGACCCCCGGACCCCGAGACCCCGCTTACCGAGCACCGTCAGCCGGGTGCCTGGGCCGAAATATACGGTATCTGCGCTCACAGCCTGGAGGCCCAGGACAAAAACCGGCTCCGCCCGCTCCTGTCCCGGATTCAGCCCGGTCCCCACCACCCCTGAGCGCGCGGTCGCTGTCCCAGCACCGGAACCCGGAGTTCCCGCCCAGCCGCGGGACAGCTCTCTCAGCACAGCCCCGCGCCGAGCCGGGCGGCTGCCCAGCCCTCTCCAGCCGCCCACAGACTGCTGCCTCCTTACCCAGCACGGTCAGCTTGGAGCCGTCCCCAAAGTACAGCTGCCCCGTGTTCGCACAGCCCTGGGGACCCCGGCGCAAACCCCCTGCCTTCCCCGACGAAGGGCCCTGGATGGCGGTAGCGCCCACTCCGCTAAGGCCAGGTTCAGGGCCCGTCCAGGCTGAGCAGCCCTCTCCCTCTCCCACCTGGAGCGCCTTCTTACCTAGCACGGTGAGCCAGGTCCCTGGCCCGAAGAAGAACTGGTCACCGTAGGAGCACAGTGGCACGGGCTGTCCAGAATTCCTGCTCCTTCCCCACCTCCCTTAGCACAGGCTGAGGGCACACCCTCCCTCTCCTTTCTGGGCTTTTCCCATCTAGAGAATTAGCTGGACGCAGTAACCTGGGCATTGCAGGAGATCACCGCCAATTTGCAGACAAGAACCAACTTGGCTTGGGGACAATGCAGTGGACTTAAAATATGAAGGGGTATTAGTGGTGGTGGGTCTGCTGGAGGTGGGAAGTGCTGCAGGCTAGACCCTACCTCTTACTAGTTACGTAACCTGTAATCTCTCTAACCTCAATTTCTTCATCTAAAATATGGGGCAATATCTTTGCCTCAGGGTTTTTATAGTTCTTAGTAACTAATGCATGTGCAAATACTTTGTACAGGGCAAGTTTTATAAGAATGTGGAATGATGATCCCACTTTGCTGCTGCCGTGGCCTTCCCATTCCTGGGAAGCTGAGTCTGGAGCAGGGGTTGCAAAGGTGTTCCCTGGGTCCAGGCTTCTGCAAAGCCACAGCAGGGATCAGCTCCAGAGACCTCAGCCCATCAGGTAGCTGCACTCCCCGGGCTGGGTGGGGCTATTTTCTAGGGCAGGGCTTTTTGTAAAAGCACCTCCTTTACCTGAATCATCGTGCCCCTCCCAGTCCCCACAATGTTACACCATGATACAAAAATGTTTCCTCCCTGCTCGTCCCCTCCCCCAACCACTGGGCAGCGGTAGGAAATGCAGGTGACAGAGGTTAGTCTGATTGAGTGGGGCTTGGGAAAGACAAACTCAGGGTAAAATTAAGGTGGGGAGGGGCTTGGGGAACGTCACAGTGCTGGTGGTGGTGGGGAGCAGAGAGGCCCCTCCTTGGAACATGCACCACCCTAAGGAGACCAGCTATGTCATCGGGTCTCCCCCTCTGGGCCTTGCTGTGCCCACCTGCTGCAGCTGGCATGTACAGTGAAGTGGGCGGGCGGAGCCAGGGGTGGAAGGGCAGCTCAAACAGGGGAATCTGCAGAGCAAGAGGTGGCGCCTTATGGCGCCAGGACAAGCAGCCTGGAGACCTCTGTAATTCTCCATTGCTTCCTGAACAAAGGCCAAACTCCTTCTCACTCATTTATTCCACAAGTCATTAGTGAACACCTACTACGTGCTAGGCACTGTACTGGTTGCGTGGATATGAGTTCGCTCTTGGAGTGGCATGCCACAAACTGCCTTTCCAGCCTTAATTCTGTTACTCCTATCTCTGAACCTGGCACTCAGCTAAACAGAGGTACCCAGAAGTACCTGACCATGTTGTCTGGGCTTTTGTTTATGCCTCCGACCGGCATGGCCCTTCCCTAGAGTGCAACTGAGACTGATTCTTCTTTTAAAGAGTTTTCCACCTTCCCAAACTCTTCTCTGATTATCCCAGTCAGAAATTGAAACTAGTGTCTGACTGCATTTTAGTAGACAGTTCACATTGCTATTTCAAAGCATTGCCTCCTAGTTCAGCTCTTTCTGTTCATAACTAATTCCCATTAGGAACAGGTAAGCTTCTTTAGGACTGACATTTGGGCATCTTTATTTTCTTGGAGGTCAGTGGTAACACATTGCAGTGATATGTGTTCGAAGAATGGGTGAATGTGTGCGCTTGTGTGTAAATATATACATGTATGTACACGTGTGTATACAGGCACACATACATCTTTTAATGCATGTATGCATTTCAATAAAGAGGGAAGGCTGTGTGGTGAAGTCCCATAAGTGGAAGGGTAATGATTATTTCAGGCAGACCTTGTGGGGATGATTGCTCCTAAAGTGGGTCACTTTGCGCTCACTCATTTGTTCATTCATTTATTCAAAGGTGCCTACACACTGTCTATGCTGAACCAAGGTACTATGCCACAGCCCAGGGATACCAACATAAAACGCATCCTTGTTACCAAGGAGTTCACAGTCAAATGGGGTTGTCAGACAAGTAAGGAGGTAGTTTCCATCAAATGTGATAAGTGTCATGAAGGAGTTTCTGCGCGGGCACTGTGGGAGCAAAATAAAGGGTGTATTTAATTCAGTCTCAGGGGAGTAAGAGGTAAGGAAAGGGAGTCTGGACGGGAAGCTATCAGCGCCAAATCTTTAAGGCTCAGCAGGAGTTACCCAGGAGTTCTCTGTCATTCCAGGTGGAGGAGGAGGTGTGCAAATGTCCTGAAAGAAGCAGCTTGCGGGGGTTCAGGGAGGAGAGGAGAGGGGAGAGTGAGGAAGGAGGCGGTCAGGACAACCACACCACCTTTAGGACTTAGGACTATGTCGGCATGGTGACAATGCGACACTGGGGAACTTCTGAAGGATTTCTAGAAGTAGAAATAGGGCTGATTCTTGGTTTTAGGGAACTTTATTTTCTATCCTTTCGGAGTGATTAGGGAACATTTTCACATCCACCTACTCTCCTCTTACATGAGGGGTCTGCATTTTTCTAGAATGCCTCTTGTTTCCATTGAGTGCAGAGAGTCACAGGGAGTTCAGAGATGAGCAGAAGAGATATCTAGGCACTCACAAGTCAGAGTCAGGCCAGACCAGGACATTTTTATTTGTTCAGTCACTTAGTCATGCTAGGGGCCTCTCTGGGTTGGGGAGATTTCAGCCGTGAGCGTGCAGGTACACAAGCGCAGCGAGTAGGTATCGGGATACATAGAGAGGTGAGAGCAGCATTCCGAAGCGCTGGCAAAAGGAAAATGCATATTGACTCTGTTATGGGTTGAAAGCTCCTGGCTCCATCTCCAGAGCTGGCTTCAGGAATCCTTTCTCTTGACCTACAGAAGAAAAGGTTTTTGGGGTTACCAAGAATCAGGACTGGTGGGGATTGAGAGGAAGTAGGAGGGCCTAGGACCAGACAAGTTGTGGGGCTCCTGACACGTTGGGTTTTCAGGTGACCCCAGGTTTCTCCTTCCCAGCATGGACCTTCCACTGTGACAATGCAGAGGTGCAAGCTGTCTTCTGAGCCATCTGAGTGAAACTCCCTCCTTCCCTACTGCCCACCTCCAGTCCTGGAAGGGTCTCTATACTCCTGGCTATCAGTTTCTGGGTGTCATGTGTCACCTCCATCCTGCCTGTCCCATCCCACCCTGTGCCTACCATGGCCATCAGCACGAGGGCGCTGACCAGCACAGCATACAGGGTGGCTTTCCCCAGCAGGATCTCGTAGAGGACGGTGGCAGACAGGACCCCTTGCTGATAGGACGCTGTTGGCAGGAAGGGTGATCAGGTAGGAACCCCTGTGCAAGTAGCTCTGGCCTCCCCCAGCCCCAGTGCCCGTGGGTTCTCCAGGCCCTGGCTCCAGAGCAAAGACCAGAGGAGAATGAGAAAGAGAGAAAGGAGAGGCTCACTTACCCGAGGTGAAGCCACAGTCTGCAAGAAAAAGTGGGAAGAAATATGGATGAGAGACCCCATCTCCTTAAGCAGATTAAAAATTAAGTCGGCCTTGCAGTTGGCACAGACTCTGAGGCCCAGCACCAGCTTCCCTCTGCTGTGCCGCTGTCAGCTACATCACCCTTGGAATCCATGGCCCATGGCAGCATTGAAGGGGCTGGGGAGGGGACACCGCTCGGATGTTGAGCTGCACGGGCCAAGGAGAAAGAGGGGCCCAGCTGCCAGGCGGTCTTGGGGTGAGGATCTGGGGAAGGAATAGCCACAGGTGCCCGGTTTATGGTGGACTGTGGTCCCCTACTTTTTTTTCATATATCTAATCTTTCTGTTTTTCTACCTGGATCTTGATTTCCCTTGGGGGGCTGGCCTGACCCAACATCCTCACAGGCCTCCAAAGGCCCCACACACCTGCTCTGCCCCAGGCCTCAGCACTGATGTTCTGGGTGATGGGTTTGTCTGTGTCCTGGGTCCACTCGTCTTCCTCTGCGAGCCCGAAGAACTGGACTTGGCAGCGGAAGTGGTTGCGGGGATTGTGCCAGAAGGTGGCTGAGACCCTCAGGCGGCTGCTCAGGCAGTAGGTGGAGTCGTTGAGGCTGGGCTGCTCCTTGTAGGGCTGGGGGTCCGTGCTGACCCCACTCTGGACCTCCTTCCCGTTCACCCACCAGCTCAGCTCCACGTGGTCGGGGTAGAAGCCTGTGGCCAGGCACACGAGCGTGGCTTTGTGGGTCCGGGAGATCTCTGCTTCCGAGGGTTCAAACACAGCCACCTTGGGCGGGGTCACCTTTTTCAGGTCCTCTGGAAAGTGAAGAGGGGTTGGGGCCAGGGCTGTCTGAGAGTGCCTGGGCCTGGCAGGGGCTCTGTGTGTGCGAGAGAGAGAGGGCTGGGAGGGTCAGAGTGAAGCACAGCTGTGTCCTAGTAGGTCCTGGTTGCTTTGGGGCCACTGTCCCAGTGTGTGTTGCTGCTGTCCCTCAGCTTTCCCTCCTCTTTCTGAGTTATCACACAGAGGCACCCTGCCTACCAGCTCCCCATCTCCCTAAACTGGCATTGTGGCCTGATTTTCTTGGCTTTCTTTCCAATGTCTAGTACTCTGAGACTTGTTTGATCATCCATCAAAAAAGTGTGTCTGTCTTTCTTCCTGGTTCAAAGTCTTGCTTGGTGCATGGTTACCTAATTTTTCAGACTTAGAAGCAGTCATGGTAGAGTTGAAATCAGCCAGAATTTGGAGGCACTGGACTCTCATGAGCATGAGTATAGCAACTACATTGATTCACTGATTTTTTCTAATTATCATTTTCTTTCTTTCTTTCTTTCTTTCTTTCTTTCTTTCTTTCTTTCTTTCTTTCTTTCTTTCTTTCTTTCTTTCTTTTTTGGTGAGGTGTACGTGTTTGTCTGTTTGGGTGATACCCTATGTTAAAAATAGCTTTTCTTGACTAGGAGAGACAATTATCCTGTTACATCTGAGTATATTTTTTCTATGTTCTATACCTAACTCACTTTTTTTCCCCATACATAACCTTCTTTGAAGAGCCACGTTGCCTCTGGCTATCATCCTATCTGATGTTCCACATTTACTCCTACACTCGAGAGCAAAGGGCTGTGGTAGTTTACTGAGGATGGCTGTGATCCTGGGGAAGGTACTGTTAATCTGTTGAACGCTTTCTTTTTTCCAGTGTCTGATAAACCTCCCTGGCTAGGTTTGGAATCCTAGTTTACAGCCAAGCTTTCATTTGTAAAGGTAGTAAAAGCTTGTTTGGCGAGCATGAACAAATTGCAAAGTCCGAGGGCCATTTCAGCAGAGGGTTCACATTGTAACGCCTGGGCCCTTTCTGTGCTTGACAGATGTAAGAGGAAGAATTTCTGGGATTATTGGAAGGAATGGCCTCATCTGAAGACATGTAAGGAGTGGAAGAAACCACATCTGTCCTTCACACACCTTCCCTTTTGCTAGAATTTACTGTGCCCTCCATTTGTCTCTGTTCCAACCAGAGGAGTGAGCTTTTGGCACAGAAATGTGGCAAGCCCAGATGTGTCCCCTTTATTCAAATTTAGGAAATATTCCTGATGAGAAAATGAAGACATAGGTTTGGAAAAAGGCAAACCCTGTGACCAAGTGATAATAAACAACAGGAACGAAAATGATAGTCACAACAGATTGAATCGTTAACGAAGGATTTTAAAGAAGTTAGTCTCTTCCATTTTACATGGCTTAGAGAGCCCAAGCAGCATAGGTTACGTCTCAGATTGCACCTTCCCAACCCCTTGAGTCCAGGCTTTTGAATCTCATGATTTGTATTTTCCATTAAACTTTCTGGCATGTGTCCCCTCCGGCAGAACAGTGCCTGACAGAACCCCCAATCCTGGTTGGTGATTCTGTGATCCCCATTCCTCCAGCCTTGCCTGTGTCTCCAGCCCGGACCCCGTCCCATCCCAACTCTACTCCGCCCACCTGTCTGCCCCTCCCCAGCATGGTAAGGCTGTGTTAGGGTTTCCCAAAGGGCCCCTTACCCTGTTATCCCAACATAGACCTCAGAGATTGAGAAAATGGAATCTCCTATCTATTTTCTGTTCTTTATCCATCATCTCTTGCTAAGATGAGGTCAATGTCCAGTGGTAACAGTTTTTTCAGACCTATCTCATAGCCCCTGCCAAGCACAGTGCACCCCAGAGACTCCCTTGCAGCATGTGCAATGCCTGCCATGCCCTCAAGCAACCCGTTCTCGGCGACGTGGTCCCCACCACCTCCCGATCTTTTAAACAACCTCAAGAAGACAAATATGGATCTTTGAAGCTGGTAGAGAAAGAGAAGGAGGAAGATGAAGGCGAGAACAGAGTGCTGTGCTGGAGGTAGACGCTGGGAACGACTCTAACGTAGAAGACAGAGCGATTCACCAACACGCGTCACCAGTGCGGAATTGGAATTATAACAGGAAGGGAAAGATGAAGAAGAAACAGCAACAACAAAAAAAGGGAAAGTAAAACAACGTACCCACTAGGAATGCAGAGATAAGAGGAGTTCTGGAGAACAATGAAAAGGGCAGGAAACACAAAACCCTGAAGACTAAGCAAGGAGCTCTACGGAGGCCGGGGCAGCAATGCACACACCAGGTCAACAAGCAGGACGAGCTCCAGGAAGGTAGGAGAGGGCACAGGGCTCCCGGTGGGAAGAGATGGCTCTGACCTCTGTCCTTAACACTCGATTCCCTTCCCAGGGACTGATCATTGTGGTAGAATGTAGGCACCCCCAGTCAGGAAGGGAGCCCCCATACCTGTCACGGTGAGCCTGGTGCCGAGCCCGAAGTGGAGGGGCGAGTTAGAGGAGCACAGCTGCAGGTGGCTGAGACAAAACCCAGCCAGAGATCTCCAGCCAGGGGCCAAGTCTTAGCTCCCTGCCAGCGGGGTGGCCGCCTTTCTCTCCTGGACTCGTGCCTCTGGACTAAGGGAATTCTATCCGGAAAAAGGCCTCAGCATACCGTGGGGCAAGAGGGGTAAGAGGAAGGGGTTTTGGAGGAGCAGGTCCATGCACATAAGAAGGAAGCATGAATGGAGAAAGGAGTGAGGAGGCAGATTAGAGACTGAAGACTTACAGAAGCCAAATACAGGAGTCGACCAAGCCACACCAAAAAGGATGGCAGACGCAGCCCTGTGGAACCCCCACGGGGTAAGAGAGTTTACTCAACCCCCTTCCACCAGCACCAGGAGGAGAAGCAGAGACCCTGGCTCCAAGGGACAGTGCCCTACCACCCTGGTCTGCACCTTACCTAGGACGGAGAGTCGAGTCCCGTCTCCGAAGTGCTGTACCTGATTGCTACACAGTGCCTTGCGAGTGTGGCAAACCCCAGCAGAGCCGGCCCTTCTGCACAGAGCTCCTGGTGGCTCTCGCACGTACTCCGCTGACCCACACTCTCCCAACCTCTTCTCCGCTGTGTTCTCGATCCCTGTCCTCTCCAGAGAGCCCTCCCAGAACTCCAACCTTTCAATATGTTATCCTAAAAGAAGCCTTTTACATACCCAAGACGGAGAGCTTGGTTCCACTGCCGAAAAATAGTTTTTCATTAGTTGCACAACATGAAAGCCCCGCAGGAAAAGTTACCACCTGCTGCTTCCATTCCTGCCTCCCCAAGTCCACCTGCCAGCCCTCCTCTCCCATTCCTTAGGAGATTTTTAACTCTGGGAAGTGGATAGTTGGACAATGATGCAACCTAAAATGCTGTGGTCAGAGGGCCAATCGGGCCCTGTGTGACCTCTCACGTTCCCTCACCTGTGTCCCTCTCCTTTCTGCGTGAGGGAGCAAAATGGCAGGACCATGCAGCTGTAAGGTCAGAGGCTCTCCCACCTCTCACGGTCACATGGGCACTCTCCAAGGAGACAGGACTGGACAAGGTGATGCCTTCCTAGCTGAGCCTGCCTGCCTCCTGAGAGGGGGTCCCAGGCTTGGCACAGCCAGGCCATGAAACATTGGAGATGAAGGCTGCCTCCTCCTGTCTACGTCAAGGCAAGAATTCAAAAATTCCTGATAAAAATGCGCTTGAACCTAAGCACCCAAGACAAAGACTCCATCTGGATCCCAGCCCCTCCTTGCAGGTTCCCAGCCCCCCAACTTTAACTTACTCACCCACCACAGTGAGCTGGCTTCCCTTCCCAAAATAGAGGTTGTTTCCAGATCACAGCCTCCAGGGGCCATTTTAAAAGCTCCCATTCTCTGCCGAGCACAGCTGGGATTCAGGCAGAGGATGGGCGTTTATGGATCTTTTCTTTCACAAAGCCACCAGCCCTGCTTCAAACACTACAACACCCTTCTAGAGCTTGCCCAGGACCCGGACAGGCGAGAAAAGGCTTCCCATGAAATCTAGAGCAGGAAGATATGGAGCCCCTGCAGAGAGCCTCTGCCAATGAAGAAGACGGCCAGGTCTTGTGGCTCATTCATCGCCCCCGGGCTTTCTCCTGGTCCCCATCTTAGGAGGCCATGTGGAGAGGCAGCACTGTCTCCTTTCCCTTCCCTGCCCTGTCACCCCAGGCTCAGCTCCGGTTCTGCCGGGAGCCTCCGGGCTGCCTGGGGGCATCCACCCTCCCGGGGAACCTCCCGTGAACTCAATCCCAGACATGAGATGACATCTCCCTCAACCAGGACCCAGGACCCGATCCTCCCTTCCCTTTGACATTTCCTAGGACAAAGTCCTCCCTCGTGGCACTACACCCAGAGACCTCCAGCCTTACCTACAACCGTTAGCCTGGTCCCTGAGCCGAAGGTGTAGTCATAGTTGGCACATCAGAATATGGCTACTCTAAAATGGACACATTGGATCCACTTTCCCCCACAGGGACTTGGAAAGTCTTACCTACAACTGCAAGCCTGGTGCCTTCTCCAAAGAAAACTTCAGTATTCGCACAGTGACGTGGGTCAAGGAAGAAAACAAATTCAAGGCGTGGAGAGGGGAGGGCACCCTGGCTCATGTCTGGAGGACGCTGAGATAAGCAACCTCTCTGTGCTTTATAGTCATTGCACAGAACATTTTCAGCTTTTCATTTTTGGGACCACAGAGCATGGCAGAGGCCACCCAGAAAGTCCTAGGCTCCTTTCTCAGAGGATGCCCCGTACAGAAGCTCCCTCTCTGAGGGTCCACCACAGATGTGGGCCTGGAGAGGAGGGCAGGGTCCCAGAACCTGTGACTCCTTCCATTGAGACCTCTGGCTTCTTCCTGAGTCCTGTGTAGACTGGTCACCTCCCATGCACCTTCCCACTGACCTTGTCCCTGAGTCTGTTACTTGTGAGTCCTCCAAATCATTCTTCTTATGTCTCGTTCTTTCTGCCCGGGAAGCTTTGGTTCTGATTTGGGCTTATTCTTGTCCAGGGCCTTGGTCTGACCTGTGGCTCGGGGTGAGGGAGGCATACTGAAATAAACCACACTTGGGCTTGGGACCCAGGAGAAAGGTAGAGCGAATGGGGGCGTTGTTGGGACAGGCAGAAAGGTTTTTGTAAAGGTTTCCTGTGGAGTTGAATCACCGTGGCCCCCCTGTCCCCACAATGTTACAGCTTTGTACAAAAAGGGCCCCTCCCCTGGGCCCGCCTCCCAAGGCTGGGAGAAACCACGAGAGCAGCTGGTTTTTTGAGGGCAGCGGAGGAGAGCACGGGGGCGGGGGATGGACGTCACCCCTTATCGTGCGAGGTGGTGGTGTGGGGTACGGACCAGGCTCAGGGGTCCCTCCTCACCCCTACGCCCTGTCTTCAGGGCGTTCTGACTCCTCAGAGCTCGGTGTTTTTGTAAGACTGTCTGCTGAGGGGGCTGGTCTCCCCGGTATCCGCCCCCTCCAAGCTGTCGTCATAGTGGGGAGCCTCCCTGTCCAGAAACCGCAGCCCTCTGTCTGCCCCGGCCCTGCCCCCTGGCTGTGCATCACCTTCCCTCTGAGAACGAGACCCTCAGTACCTAACCTCTGTCTCTCGGCCAACTCCGAGCCTCCAGGTTGTTCAGCTGGGTCTGGAGTCCTCTGGAGGTTTGACCACGAGCTACGGAGAGGGGGGACTTGGCTGCCTTTCCAGAAAGGTGTGTAGGGGAGGGAAGACCACCTGTATCATCAGCTCTCCTGACCTCTCCTTCTTGGCCTTAGAAATCAGAGCACATAAAGGGAGTTGGGAAAATGGATGGAGGCTGCATCAGTAGAGAAAGTCTGAAAACCATTCAGATATAACCGCGAGGCCACATAATCACGGTCACGGTCTTTGCTGTCTCTTTCCTGAAGAGTAGCGAGATTCTAAGTTGTTGGTAGATAGCTTATTTTCCTTGCACAAGATGACCCTGGCATTCCAGCTGTCCTTGAGTGGCCTAGATACCATCTCACCAGGTGGTGCCTCCTTTCATTGCCTTTTAAGCTATGACTTCAAGTCCAGAAGAAGAAAAAAAGACAAACTTGACTACATGATATTGACACATTTGCATGGTAAAATTTAAACAGAATCAAAAGATAACTGACAACCTGGGAAAAATACTTGCAATTCTCACCATAAGGGCTAAGCTCCCCAATATATAAGGAACTTCTAGAAATCAGTAAGAAAATAATCCGGCAGTTCAATAAAAATGGGCAAAGAGCAGACGGTTCAGAGAAAAAGAAATCCAAATGGTGTTTAACTATCAGGAACAACAACAAAAAAAAAACCCCTCACAATGGTAAAATAAAATAAGACTACATCGAGATACTACTTTCCACTAATTTGATGGACAAAATTGAGTTTTGGACGATTGTTCTACTAGCTAGTTTGTGGTGATTTAAGCGCTTTACACCTTGATCACTGGTAGAAGCGTGAGACGATAAATGCTTATGGAGAGAAATTTGGATGTATCTATAAAGAATACAAATGCATTTGCTTTTTCATCCAGAAATCCCACCTATGAAAATTTATCCTGTACATATTCTTTCATACAAATAAAAAATGTGTGTAAAATATTTGCATCATTTAGAATAGCAGAAAAAGATAGGAAAAAGCACAGGTGCCCATCAGTGAGGGACTGAAAAATGTACTGTGATATGTTCACACGATGGAATAATATTCCATGCTAAAAAAGAATGAAGATGTTTTATACTTCTGTGGAAAGCCCTCTAAGATACATTACTGACTGGAAAACAGCAAGCTGCAAAATAGCATAACCATAAGCTACCTTTTGTCTAACAAAGGGGGAGGAGGATAAGGATTATACTTTTTTTTTTTTTTTATTTCAGCAAATTATGGGTGTACATATGTTTAGGTTACGTGTGTTATACTTTTGTTTAGTTGATTCTTCATACCAAAGCACTGAAAGGACACAAAGGAATCTGACAGAAGTGATGACCTACTAATGATGTGCGAAGTAGACAGAAACAGAGTGGAAGTCAAAGTTACATTTCTCAACGCCAACTTTATTGGGTTGTTTCCATTTGGGGGCCATATAGCTATATTATCTATTTAAAGTCAAACTTTAAATTAATACAATTTAAAAAGAAAAACAACACAACATTGTTTTAAATAATATTTGAAAATATATCTGCTATTTTAAAAAAAGCTACTTGTTTAATTTGCAAAGCCATTATGTTTTCCAAAGACTATCAGTCGATGTGAAAAGCTGTTTCATGGTCCTGAATTTGCTCAGTGGAGCTCCAACTACTTAGGAAGCTTGTGGAAAAATGCAGATTTCTGAGAGTCCTTGTGACGTGTTGAGTTAAAGTCTCTACGATTGGGCTTAATAATTTATATTTAAATAACCAAACAGAATTCTTCTGGGCATTTCTGTCAGAGGGCCTGTGTTGGGACCCACAGCTTGTCCCCTGACTAGAACAGGGCAGGGATAAGTCCTGGAGAACAACACAGAGCTGTCTAGGGGTGCCACGAGCTGGGTGCCAGGGAATGGCCCTTAGAATTTAGGGACAAAGGGAAAGAGGAGACTATTTACCTCATTCATAGTGACAGACCTCACAATACTCTACCAAATGTCTGAATGAGAGGTCGATGGCTTTCATCCACTGCAAGGTGGCAAGGCCTCTTCTCTCTTACCTGTCCTTATTGGGGCACAGAGTTTATTTTGATTTATTTCTGCATGTTTTTCTGTCTTATTCACCCCTTTTGCCTATCGACAATTTACCCTCTAAATTAGTTTCCTTTTAATCACCTAGCTGGGGGCCTTCGCCCGGACTGGCCTTACCAGTAATAACACCCGTTGGTCTTGGCATCACGGTTTCTTTTAATTCTGACGGAGTGTGTCCCAGTTTTGCTATGCCCAAGTGTGTGTGCAGCATTGTTTTCTCTTAAAGGGGCGTAGACCCATTAGGCAGGTATCAAGTTGGAGTCATTCATCAGCTCGGCAGTAGGGGGCAGCCTTTCCTTACTTTTTGGACTCACATCTCTGCAATCTGAGCTTGGCCACTTGAGGGTGCGAGAAGAACGTGCAGAGGCTGGAGGGGTAAGTGGGGGAAGCAGGGTTACCCCTGCGCCCTTCTCAAGGTGTGCCTTGGGGGAGACATGCAAATAACATTATATACACGTGCAATTCTTGAAAGCTTTCCAGCATGTTAACAGACTCATTTCAACCTAAATTTTTTTTCACGATGTTCTCAGTTGAGGATCTGAAACCTGAAGAGGCTAAAACGAGTGGCCCAGTGGTGAAGAGGAAGAGCTGAAACCTCCACCCGAGACTCCCTACTTAGTCGTGGGGCTCTGGCAGGTGCCACCACACCCTGACAAGGCCCCGTGGCTCAGCGAAGCCCACCTCCTGGAGCCCACGGCCGGGGGCTCCCGCCAGGAGCCGCTCTATGGCTAAGAGACCGGGGGCAGGTCACTAAGCCTCCTAAATGCTCAATCTCCTTGTCTATAAAATAATATAATAATAATAATAATACCTACCTCATGGGTTCGTTGTGAGAACTAAATGAGATAGCACCTGTGAAGGTTTGTCAAGGTGCCTGGCTAGGGACAGAGGAAATGTTAGTTACTGTTATGCTCACAGAAATACCGGCCCAGGGATGTCTCCACCACATTGGTTCTCAAGTCTGAGCCTGCATGAGAATGATCTGGAAGACTTGTTAAAATGCGGGTTGCTGGGCCCCAGCCCAGAATTTCTGACTTAGTAGGTGTGGGGGTAACATTTGCATTTCTCCTGAATTCTTAGGTGATTCTGGTATTGCTGGTCCAGGGACCACACTTTGAGAACCCTTCTTCTGGAAGGTTCTTTCTTTTCTCAGTTTCCTTCCACTCCTACTTCACATTTTGTCCCTTCCATCCCTCGGTGCTTATTATATTCCAGACTTTGTTTAATCACTGGAGATACCAGGGTGAGGAAGGCAAGATTTCTTCCCCGAGGAGCTCACAGTGGAGTGACAGATGGACACAGCCATTGCTCCTACATGGCAGGAGCAGGACAGTGATTGAAGCAGGCGGGGGCAGAGGAGGAGCCCGAAAAGACTTTTCAGAAGAGGGTGAAGGGGAGGTTGGGAAGGGTGTCCAGTCCAAGGGAGCCCTAGTATCCAGGGACAGAGGTCCGGGGTGCCGTGCTTGCTGGGCGGCCCACCAGGACTCTGGACAATGGAGGGGAGCTGCGCAGGAGAGGGGCGGGGAGGTCCCGGGCAGGATGTGCAGGCAGGGGCAGAGCAAGGAGAATCCTGCGTTTCCCTGGGAGCTTGGATTCCACTGTGAACGCCGCGGGAGGCTGGGAGGTTATGCAGCCACGCTGCGTGCAAGGCAGCCTTCAGGAGGAAGCTCTCCGGAGGCGTGGGGGGACTGGGTGCTGGTGACGGTAGGCTAGAGAGATGTTGAAGACGAGAGCTGATGGACTCGTCATCCCTCAGAGCATAGCTGTAGCAGGACGTGAGACAGGCTAGAGAGAGCAGGGCTGTGGAGCCAGGTATGGAGGAGTCAAACCCCAGATCGGCCATCTGCTGGGTGTGGCACGTGGGCAAACTAACAAGCTGCTCCGAACCTGCTTTCTTATCTGCTCCACTGAAGTAATGTCCCACCCCAGAGGGGAGAGAAACTGAATGTGAAAACGGCTGTAAGGCTCTAGGGATGGTGTATACTCATTGGTATTATTACGTGGGATGAACAAATGGCGGATTTCTCGGAAGCATGAGAGATGAAGACCCAGAGATTTCTCTTTCCCCTCCAGACACCTGAGCACATCGTTGGGCAGCAGGGCCAGAGGGGCCTTCTCGAAGCAGGCCATCTGCGGCGGGGGGAGCACAGCTGGGCCAGCAAGGGCACACATGGAAGGGGCGTGGGAGAAGCCAGGCCCGGCAGCGCTGGGCTTGCCTGATCTGTTCATCCACGTAGGCAAATGCAGCAGTGAGGTCTTGCAAACCGGAGCTGATGTGTGCACGAATTAGCACCTCGCAGACCCACAGAAGTACCAAGGTCAAGAAACCTCTTCAACACCAACTTTCTGAGATGTATTTTTCTCTAGAAAGCAGCCCCTTGCCCCCTGCTTGTTATTATATTTTGGATTCCATCTCTTTGTATGCTGCTGATCTAGTGTACCACGAACACGTTTTGGGAGTGAGAGATGAGCAGAGCCCCCTGAGGGGCACGGCCCTGTCTCACCTCAGAAAGAGGGTGTTTCCCAGGTGAGGGAGCTGGAGGGAACAGGCACAGACACTGGCAGTGAGTACAAAGTCACGTCTTTATTGGCACTGTGACCACGGAGGGACTGGGGGGCTTTAGCTGTTGGCAGCGATGGTCTCCTGAATCCAATCCACGTAGTTGCAGACCTTGGTGTAGACACCAGGTTTGCCTTTCTGAGCACAGCCATAGCCCCAGGAGACGATGCCCTGGAGCTCTCCATTGCAGACCACGGGGCCTCCAGAGTCACCCTGGGGAGGAGGCACGAGTTGCATGAAGAGGGAGACGAGGAGGAACATAGCTACGCTTACTCTGAACTGTAAAGACTCTGTTCCAGTCGGCTGTGTGGCTCGACGCCCTTGTCTGTGTGGCGCATCTCTGTTCTTACTAAGGAGACACCACGAAGCCCAGACGAGGCTTCCTCCCTTCCTCGGGGTGGAAAGGGGTCAAATCACCTGGCAGGAATCCTTGCCGCCCTCGAGGAAGCCGGCACAGACCATGTTCTTGGTGATCTCCCCGGGGTAGGAGGCTTGACAGTCGGAGTCACTCAGCAGGGGTGCGTTCAGGCACTGCAGCAGGTCCGGGTAGTTGGCTTCGAGGAGCAGGAAGAAATCAGGAAAAAGAAATGTAAGTCAGGCCAGAATGGGGGACAACTACCTGGTGCTGAACCCTGAGGGCTGCCCCAGGAGAGGACCCCAGGAACGTAAGCCCCAGTTCCCAGCATGATCTCTGCTGAACCCCTCCCCGGACGTGATCACAGCAATGTCTCTATTTGTCCTCTCGATTCTGGGAGCCAACTCCTCGAGACCCCGCATCTCCCTGGCACCTGGTACAGAGCCTTGGGCTGCAGTGGACACTAGAAATGTATTTGCGGCCTGGAAGCAAATGGGTTCAAGTTCAGGGGCATGCTTGATTCTGGAACAGGTGAGGACAGAGGGAGGTGGGGGGCGAAGGCTTCCACTCACAGCCGGAGCTCAGGGTGTTGCCCCAGCCGGAGATGAGGCACTCGGTGCCCGCGGCAGCACAGGCGCTGGGCAGGGAGACGGTGGACACCCGGGAGTTGATGACAGCGGCCGAGGACAGCTTGATCAGCATGATGTCATTGTCCAGGGTCCGGGAATTGTAGTTGGGGTGGCGGATGACCTTGGACGAGTCGATGAACTGTTCGTTCCCCTCCAGGACTTCGATGTTGTGCTCTCCCAGCCTCACTTGGATTTGGCTGTAGGGAGGAGGGGCATGGTGAATCCTTCTCTCCGCAGCCTGCCACACCCACCCCGCTCTCCCCACGGTTCTCAAGCCTCCTGCTCACGGCCACCCCGGAGGCCTGGGGTGGGGTGTGTGGCAGTATCGCGAGGGGCAGCACGTCAATGCAGGTGTGAGACTCGGGACTTCTCTGCGTCAGAGGTGGGTGGTGGGGTAGGGTGAGCAAAGGGATCCAGCTGGGGGCTGTCCTCAACCTGCGTTCTCGCCTCCTTTCCCACACCCCCTTGGGCACCCAGCACCACGGGAGCAGAAGGGCCACTTGAAGCTTCCCAGGCATTCTTCATCCTCCGTACCCCTGCTCGCTACATGCTGACTTCTACCCCTTTCCTTCTTGGGCTGGTGAGCACCACCATTCTGCACGATTGAATCCAGTGGGCCCCCAAGTGTGGCCCCTGGACCTGCAGTACCAGTGTCACCTGAGAACTTGTCAGAAATGCAAATTCTCAGTCCCTCCCCAGACCTCCTGCATCAGGACCTTGGGGATGGGACCCAACAATTTGTTTTAACAAGCCCTGTGGGTGGCTCTGATGCACGCTCAGGCTTGAGAACCCCTGGTGCAGGCAGTGGTTCTCAGCTCTGTCTACACTGCACAATTACCAGAGGTAGAGAGTTTAAAAACTCACCCATATTCACAGCCTCTTCCTGAAAATTCTGAGTTAATTGTCCTGGGATAAGACCCAAGCATGAGTTGTTTTTTTTTTTTTTTTTCCTTGCTGTTTCTTATGTGGTTTTTAATGTGCAGCCAGCCAGCAAGAGGTGCTTTCCCAGGGGCCCTTACCACCCTCGATAATCCTTCTCTGCTTTTATGACCCATGGCCCTTGCTATTGCATGGGTTTGTGTGGGCCTGAGAGGCTTCCTGGAGGGCCCCTCTTCACCTTGGGCTCCGGCAAGTTAGCTGCTGCCATTGGCTTCTCTTGTCCATCACCATCCCCTTATCTTGCCCGACCTCCGCAGCCCCCGCACTGAGAGGGGCCTGGGCTGCGGGCTTTGTGGCCAGGGGCCCAGCACTTACGACTTGTAGCAGTGAGCTGCAGACACCACCCACTGGTCATTGATGAGGGAGCCACCGCAGAAGTGGGAGCCGGAGTTCAGGGACACCTGGTAGGGGACAGAACCCTCCTCACAGGTGTAGCCGCCGACGATCTTGTCATCGTCATCAACGGGGAAAGCAACTTGAGTGGAGACAGGGAGGGAAAAGCCAAAATAGCAGGATGTTGGGGCTGGAACCCTCAGCCCTATGCCTGGCTCATGCTAACTAGGGTTCCTCAGCAGGCACAGTGATGCCAGGCAAGGGCAGGGGCACTGCCTTTCCCAGGGGGTGTCACAGGAGGTGGCTGCCCCAGTCTCTGAATGGCTGTAGAGCACACCCTAGGGGCTTGGCCCTCTCCTGGGGGCATCAGGCTGAGGACAGAGGAATGCCCTCATGATGCTCTCTGTGGGATAGGAGTTGGCATGTGGTCATCTCACCCACTGGCTACTTTTCTCTGTGGGTCATCACTGGTCTGCTCCCCATGGCTGTTTGAGCCCCAGATTGTCAGGATGGTTTGGCCTAGCTAGGAAAGCCTGGCTGTACCCAGCTTCTCCACAGCTCAGTGCAGTGAGGCCAGGGTGGCAGGCAGCCTCCAGACCCACTTAGGCAGGACACAGGTAGGCATCGTTACTGGCCAATACCACAGTGATTCTTAACCTTGGCTGCACACCCGGAAATGTTAAAATCACGTGGGAAGCTTAAAAATTCAATACACAGGCTGCACCCCATACAAATGAAGTCAGAATGTTTAGGGGTGAGTCTCTGGCAGGAGTTTTTCAACCTTCCCAGGCGCATTTGAGATTAAGAGCAGCTGTGCAGCTCTAGTGGCTCCATCCCAGAGCTGCCTGATGCAGCCTTGAGCCTGTGGCTTCCTCTCACGGCGGCTCCACCTGGTGTCCCTCTCTGGCTTCCACCATAGCCTTCCTGTGGACGACTGCTGGCGGTGGGGGTAGAATTGGGGAGGAGGTGAGAGGGTGGGAGTGGAATTGGGGAGGAGGTGAGAGAGCTGAGGCTTAAAGAGAGCCCAGGGCAGATGGGAAGGAGAGGCGGTGCTAGGCAGGGGGCTAGAGCATCAGAGCACAGGTGAATCGGGAGGCAGCAAGAACGGTACGGTACGGTACGTGTCTGCCGGGGAGGGCGGGCGTGGCCTGAGGCCAGGCATGGGACTCACCAGCGGCCCCCACAAAGGCGAGGATCAGGAGTGCGCTCATGGTGGTGGAAGCGATGGAGCAGGTGGTGAGCGCCCGCCTTTATACCTCTAGCAGAGGGTGCGGAGGTGCATGGGAGGCGGAGGGCCGCCGCTCCTCCCAGCACAAACACACCTGCAGCTTTCCCCTTCCCAGGCGGTTGCATCAGTTCTGCTGTGTTTGCCCACTCTGTGGATTTGCGACTGGCAGGAGATAAGGAAACTCCCCTTCTGAGGGCAGGGAGGGAGCCCAGCTGATTCCTGGAAGGATGCTGGCGTGGGGAGACAGGGGAAGCCGAGTGGCACAGCTGGCTTTTCTTAGACAGAGGAGATGGGGTTAGGAGGAGGGAGAATGGCCTGAGTTTCAGAAATCCTCTGGCATGGTGGAAATGTATTTAACTTACTTTAGGGAAGGCCTGGCACTGGCAGCAAGCTTGGCTTCTCAGTGTCCTGGAGCCTCTGGGAGAGGAAGGACGTCTGTCCGAGGCTCTTGCCTCTGAGCATGAAGACCTCTCTCTCCAGTGCTAAACCACTGGGCGGGAAGGTCAAATCCAAGGCTTTGGCATCCACAATTCTAACACTAGCAGATGATGAGAAGGAGACGCAGCATTCCTTAGGAACCTGGGCTTTCAGCCGGCTCCTTCCTACCAAGGCCTATGGATGAGGAGGGTTTCAAAGGAGGAGGGGTGAGGGTTAGGTTGGCGCTTACCCAACACATTTGGAAGACGGGAGACCAATATCACATTCCTCCTCTTCCTTGATGTCCGGGCATTTGTTTCTCTCATGTGTGTCCTGTTATGGGTTCTCCTTAAGCAGCCTCAATCTGTGCTCAAGGTGATGAAAACGGGCCCCACCTGCTAGGGGCTGACAGCCTGAACTAGAATTACATGCCCCAGATCAGATATCAGAACAAGTTTGGACAGTGGTAGGTCGGGGTTAGGATCAGAGAATCAGCAGTAGGTAGGTAGGTAGAGAGATGAGCACGTGGCGAAGGTGTCGAGTATTGGGTTTAATAACCAAGACGTGGTGGGGATGGGTCTGGAATTTTCTATTTTAGATATGGTGAGATTATCCTGGGCTCAGTACAGAGTGAATCTTTTCAGGAAGGATCTCCATTTGGAACCAGCCATGACACAGCCCTGTAATTCACTGAGGCACAACCTGGCTGGAGGAGTGTAGAGAGGGAGGTGCTGTCTGTGCTTGTGTCTAACGTGAGCCATTTGGAAAAGCTTTCGTATGAGGATGCTTCTCTGCAACGCTCAGCTCAGGCTTGGTGAGGGGCGGGAGTGGGCAGAGCTCACATTTGAATTCTCTGAAAGATAGGAAAGGAAGAATGTTCTGGAGATGGTGAACACAGTGAGAAAGGACCATAAATCTGGTGGTGGAATTGGAGATGGTAGGAGGGCCGGAGGGAGGCAGTACATGGAAACTGGAGTGAACGGGCAAATGCCAGAGCCTGGTTCATGCGTCTGGGAGGGACATACAGGGCACCTCTGCTCCAGTTCCTGGCGTGGCTGCCACACCGGCTTCTCTGCAGCCAGAAGGGGCACCACTCAGAGCTCCCACCTCTCCACCCTGCATCCCTCTAATTTCTGACGTGCTCACACTTAACTGGGAATACTGTTCTATTTGTACGGTGCATGGCAGCTTTTCAAGAGCTTTTACGTAAGCAACAGTGGTCCACGGCTTTTCATTAACGCCAAATTTCACAGTTGAACTTTTCACAAACCTGCTAATTGTGGGGTGTGCAGAACAACGTTATTCCCACAGAGGAGACTTGGGCTCAGAAAGATTCTGTCTTGCCCAAGAATGCAGATGTAAAAATGTCAGGGCTGCCCTCACGGCCACAGGAAGACATGGAGAGCACTGGGAAATGTGGGAGTTGCCGCAGGAGGCATCTAAAGGGAAGTTTATCCGAGGTCAAGCCAGAGGTCCCCAGAGGGCACACTCCATCTGGATTTCTCCTGGCACTTTTCTTTCTACAGAAATGGGAGATTGAATTAATCCTTCACCCGACACCTTATCTCACAGCCTTTCCCTGCCATGGCCCCAGACCCATCCACGCCGTGACTGACACAGCTCTCCGCTCACAGGTTATTGGCGGAGTCCAAGGTAGCCAGGTTGTGGAGCACTGATATGGGGACTTTTCTTCTGATGTCACTAAACATGCTGTTTTGTTTTGTCCCCTTGTTGTGGGGTCATCACAGATCTCCTGTCTTAGAGGATAAGGAGAAACTTTTGCTCTGGCGTCTCTGGGTAACAGCATACTGGACAGGTGCACCCAGGGAGTTGATCCTTGGCAGAAGATGGGAAATCATTTTGGAAATGTCTAAAAGGAAACTCCTAAGGGCATTCTGTATCTAAAGCTTGAAGACTAGCTTCTTCTGATAGTTTACACTCCTGCTTAAAATAAACTATCACATCCACAACATAGTCTGAGGTCAGCCTTCTTCCAAGTAGCAGGCAGAGAAGACAGCTGTGGTAGAGGCTGTCACCTCACACCCTAGGCTCAGGTGTGCAGGACAGGCTCAGATCCAGCTGCCCAAACGCCATTTAGATGTCTGTGCTGTTCCTGGGACTGTTCACTCTGAACTAGGATTCCTTTGTCTGCTGCTACATCCTCCTGGCTTATATTTACTGCTGAGCATATCAGACCACTGTTCCTCGATGACGGTAACAGCAACTAGTTTCTGTGTGCTGACTATACACCAAACATCGTGTAAGTCTTTCATGGACCTTTTTTTTTTCATTTTGTCATCACAACCACCTGTGGAGTTGCCCATTTGACAGATGATCAAATGGGTAGGTTGTGCAGATGGGATTTAAGCAGAGCAGGCCGACTCCAGTGCCTGCGTTCTCTGTCGTAGGGCATTCTACTTGCCTCCCTCTTCCTTGGGCCTGGGCGCAGCCTCACTGGGGTGGCAGGTGACAGGTGGCAGATGCTGTTTTCTCCTTTTTACAGAAGAGGAATCTAAAGCTCAGAGGTTAAGGGACATCTCCAGGGTTACTTGGCTAAGGCATGCAGAGGTGGCATAGAACCTGTCCTATTCAAACCAAGTTCATTCCCCTTCATGTTGCTATGTAGTGGAGTCTTCTAGACCTCCCAGTAGTCTGAAAAGCGTATTTTTTGTCAGACTCCAAATCACTATTTTCTTTTTCTTTTACACTTTCTTTAACACTTTCTTCCCCTAGTCCAGCTGGATCAGATCTGTCTCCCTCAGCTCCTAGTCAGCTCCTCCGTGGGGCCCGGTTTCCTTCACCATTCTCCAGCCAGACTGTTAGATTCCAACTGTCTCCCCCAACTCTCCCAGCTCCTTTCCTTGTCTATTATTTTTTTCTAAGCTACGTATCTCCCCCACAGCCCAATTTCTCTTTATCCAATAAGGAATTGTTTGCTTGACTATCTCATCCCAGGAATCCCTGAATCTGGGTAGTGGAGGGAATGCTCTGTGTTTGCTCTGGAGGAAAATTTGAATTATGAGACATGTGTGGGGCATGACGTGGACAAGGCAATAGGCCATACCTTGAAGCCATGGAAGATGTGCAAGTTTTATGTCCAGAGGGAAGTTCTGTTTGCAGATTTATTTATCCTTCGGGCTTCTGTAGATAGGGCAATGGGGAAGTCTCTACCAATTCAGTCTAAATTTAAATTACCTAAAGACAGACTGATTTCTGTAATGTCATGGTGAGTCTCTCTGCTCACCTTGCGGCCACTCCTTGTCCCTCCCTCATTGGGCCTATTAGAGCTGCTTAAGTCACTCCAGAGTCCATGCACATAGGCAGGGGACAGCCAGGATAGAGTCCTGGAGGAACACCCATGTGGGCTGTTGTTACTGTAACATCTATGACTTGTTCCATGATGCTCAGTTTAATAAATGATGTGTGGATCTATTTTGTTAAATCATACTAGATCTAGACTGAGACCCACAAGCCAGGTCTGGTGACATGTCCAGCCCACCGGGCTCCCCACGTTCTCACTTGACTTATGGAAAGTCTAGACTGTGTCATCCTCTTGGAAGGCAGCCAATTGCTCAGCTGTTTCCTTTAGGTCAGCATGGCCGGGAGTATCTTCAAAGGGCTTCTAAGGCTCAGAACAGAGTGTTCGGTCCCACAGGCATGGACATAATTCCAACATGGTGACTGTCCACCTTAGGGCCACCGCATTTGAGCAGGTTCCAGGCTTTGCCTCTTTGGAATCTGCAGCATCTGTGCTGTTTCCCAGTCTTGGGGAAGGCAGCAGAGGGAGGCTGGCACGCGTCATTGTGTGCCTTTCTACTCAAATACACATTTTATTCAATTGTCAGGCTTGAAATGTTCGTTCCTTCCCATTAGAATAATCTAATCAATTTCTTTACAGGCTTAGATAGCCTAAATTCAAACGCCTTTGAAGAGTTTTCGTCCAGGGAATTCCACTACTACTTGACACTTTTTTATCTTCTAAATCATATTTATTTACCCAATAAATATTTACTGAATTCTTGTGATATCCAGGAGTTCTTCTAGGCTATAAGGGAGCAGTAATGAAGAAGACAGAAAAGACTCTTGCTTTCAAGGCATTTATGTGTACGTGTGTGTCCACGCACAGGTGGGGAGGTGTAGAGATGGGAGACAGAGAATAACTAATGTGTGTATACATACATGTGCACACACGCTTTATTTCAGACAATGGTGACTGGGTATTATTAAAATAGGGTAAAGTGATAATATGGGGTGATTGCTGAGGTGCGATGCTAAACACAGTGGTCAGGAAAGGTCTCTTTGGGGAGATCGTATTTGAGTTAAGACCTGAATAAAAGGAACCCGCCATGTGAAGGTAGAGTTAGGAGGATTTTCATTGTTCCCTTCTGAGTCTATAACAGAAATAAATCAACATGCATAACTAACTGCTTTTTTAAATGAAATAACCCTAGCATATGGGCATCTACCTTGCCATTAGTTTTGATTGTAAACACTGGTGAGATGAAGGATGGTCATCATACATTGAAATATTCTTACAAAAGTTAATGTAATATATACTTTTTGACATGAAATGGTATTTATGAAATATTAAAATCAATTCTAAGACATTATATATTGTATGACCTAAGTTTATTAAAAACGAGTACTTTTAATTTTTCTCATTTTAATAATTTGTATATTTTATAATGCCATGAATTTTTATGTGATTAAAATAGCTCAAAGAAAGAGAAACAATTATCACAGTAACTTTTCAGAAAGAGTAATACCTAACCTAGAGGAAAGAATTGCTACTGTCAGCTTTTTACAATGAGAAATAAATTGAGGTAGTAACTACATTAATTGCATGTTTTGTCTCCACCAGGCACAGTGTTATGTGCTTTACACAGATGATGTCATCTCATTATTATAACAAACCCTCATGTACAAAATCTCATTATTATCGTTATTTTCTTTATGAGAAATTAAGGCATAGAGAAATTGTGTAACTTGTTTAAGTATACACTTAGTGATAAAGCAGAAGAACCAAGCTCTAAACTCAGGTCTGTCTCTCGACAGAGTTCAAGTTCCTACCTGCAGTGCTTTACTGCTTTTAAGTAGACAATTTGGCTGGAATATAGGAAGGTGCTCCATAATCCAAGGTTCTAGTGTAGATGAATTTGTTGACTTCTTAGGGTTATGGGAGCATAGGCAGGAAGTTAAGGTAGCACTGGACTCATTAGCTACAATGGGTCCACATGACTCCTGTGGCCTAGACAATCAGTGTGTGGATGCTGAAGATGACCCACTGGACCTTGTGCAGGACCAGGAACTAGATGAGAGTCACTCTTTTGTGAAGCCAGGATACAGGAAGAGCTACACACCTGATGAAAAGACAAACTAGAAAAATAATCCCAGAAGCAGTTAACAAGGAATGTTATTTATCTTGGCCTTGGCCTTGGGTGGAGGATTTAAAAAAAAAATTCCTGTGAATATTCATGATTACTGAGCAGTCAGCCCATTGGGAGTTGGGATAGACACTGTGAGAAGATGTACACTGAGAATTATAAAATAAAATGAGGTTAGATCTATAGCACCACAATTGTGTTACAGAGGCAAACATAAATGTTTCCTGGAAAAACTACCTTTAGCCCAGGATTTAAAGAATTCCCAAAGATGAATTAACAATATCATATTACATAATGCACAGGGAAACGAACCACCCTGAGTGAGAGTCAGCAGTTTTCTTGTTAGAAAACTGTTTTCTTGTTAGAAAACCAGATGCAAAGAGGCATCAAATATTGGCATTATCAGATAAAACTTTCAAATACAT